TTCCATAGCTGGTCCGAATGTAGTCTTCCACATCTCTAGACAAATGAAATTTCTTACTATATTCTAAATATGGATCACTATACTACAGACAAGCGTACCATACACCACTCATCAAAGAAGTTTCTTTTTGCAACAGATGGAGGCTACTGAAGAGTTCCATAGCTGGTCCCACACAGCTAATATAGTGGTGAAACATCTGCAGTTGGGCCTCTACACCTAAGGCTAATGGAATATAGTTGAACAAGGTTTAGAGAGAAAAGTAATGCATCTCTCAACTTTCACTAATGAAACTTTCTTATACAACAGAGTGTGATACACACAGAAGTTCACAACTTACCAAGTTTTAAAATAAGAGACTGCAGAGTATGTATTCTTAGATAGGACTCCTATATTGAACCTCACTCACTGATAGCTCAGGGGCCATTATGGAAGAGGGGGCAGAAAGATTGTAAGCTCCAGGGCTTATTCATGAACACAGGGAAGCAGAGGCTTTCAGACCACTGGAAGTTTGCACACGTGAACTTGTTGTAATGGTGGCATTGAGCATAGGACCCATGCCAACTCAATTAAACAAGGGCCCAGTGGGGAGGAAAGAAATGGGTGGTGGGCTGGCCCTAGACTATGAACTATTGGAGACTGATTGCTGCTGGTTGGAGAGTATCGCCTTACATATGATCTCTAGATGGGCTCACTAGACTCCAGTGGATGAGTTTACACTAAAGGACATCTGGGTACAAGTGTTTGCCTGGATAGGACTTAATGTTTACGGTGGAATACATGATATTTAATGGGGGATGAGGGACATGGATAGGAGGACAGGAGGCCTAAATTTGATTAAGAACTGTTATATGAAATTACAAAAGTTCAATAAAAAATTTTAAAAGATGTATTCAGCCCAATTACTAGCTTTTGATTCCATTTTCTGTTTCCCTACTAATGGCAATTTAAAAAAGAGAACTGTTCTGACTTTTGTCTAGTTCCCTGTCTAGAACTTGTAATGCTAATTACTCTTGCCTTTACTTCTCCTTCTCATTTCCTATTCATGATTCAAGGACTTTCTTTTCCCCATAGAGAAAAGAGTTATGCAATTTGGGAGTCTTTTAGACAGACCCACTGAAGGGGTACCCCAAATGCCTCACCCTGCATCTCTGTTCAGCATGGAAGAAGCCAGAGCAGTCTGGGTCCCTATTCCCTATTGGCAATTTGGGTAACCCCTTCAGAGGATGGCATGATAAGAATAGGAGGACAGAATTGGCTAGGTAGTTAGGGTAAAAAGACCCCAAAGAAAGGTAGCCAGTTTCTTGGCCAAAAGTCAAAATGTCCTCGGGCCTGTTAGCAACATACTCTGTTCCAAGGCCAAAAACGTCAAAAGTATTTGGGAGCTTGTATCTAATCTTTAAAAGATTTTAGAGTTACCTCTTCAGAGGGGGGAATGTTGTAGGGGAGGAAGTGGGCATGGATTGGATCAAAATATCTTATATGCATGTATGAAATTCTCAATAAAGTTTTTGTAAAAATTA